CGCGGCGCTCAGCGTGGGAGAAGGAGGAGCTGGAGCTTTGTGGCTTTCGGGGAGCCAAAATTAAGGATGTCAGGGAAAAGGCGGCGGGGCGGATTTGGACTTGCATGAAATGCCTAGCTTCAAGCTTAGAGATACAAATATTTATCTGTGGCTTTGGCATACCTGCTGGCTAAATGCAGTGAGATTAGTGTGTGTAATACAGATATTTGTTAATGATTTGATTGGCAGTGAAATTGGATGTTACGATTTAGTTTTTTCTTCCACAAACAAGAACTTGTTTCCACTTTTGTGGACTTTAACACATCCCTTGGAAAGCTTTCCATTCCAATTCCTGTTTACTGGTAAGATGTATCCCGATTCAGCTGAAAGGGGGAAAATATCCTTTTTTTTTTTTTTTTTTTTTTTTTTTTTTTTTATCTCCAATCGTATGACCAGAAGATCATGCCAGGAATGATGATTTTTATATTGATCAAAGTCAAAATTCATTGATTTAACATAGAAAAGGCTATTGGATGGGCATGGTTTTAAAAAAAAAAAGAAAAGAAAAAAAAATCTGCCCCTGGTTTCACATAGCTGACCTTTCGACTCTGCTTCAGATGGAAGGCTGGAGGAGGAGGAGGAGATGGCTGATGTGCATTTTCTTCCAATACCTTATTAGGAGCTCTGGATGTGTGTGTTTTGTTTTGTTCTGAAATCTGCACCTGATTTTTAACTTTCTCTGTTTTATGGAGCTGAACAAGAAGGCAGGGCTCGGCTTTCTGCTGATGGCAAGGGAAGCCTGTCTTGTCATCCTTAGCTGAGGAAGGTGAGCAGGGGAAAATCGCTGGTCTGTCAGTTGAATCCTAGGAAAGGGCTTTGGTAAATGAGGGATCCAGCTCAAAAGTAAATTACATAAATAAGGGATGATACTTTTCATGAGGAAAAAAAAAGTGTTATTTTAACTACAGAGAAATGTTTGAGTGGTGTTTCTTTTTTCCTTCTTCTTATCAAAATCTCTGAGCATAAAATTCTGAAAGGGTTTAGGTTTATTTTTTGTTTCCGGGTATTCTTTAAAAATCCTGTTTCCTCATTTCTGTACTCCCCTATTTCATGTCTCTGTCACCCTATACACAGCCTGTGTTTTTTTCACACGAAATTCTATCTTTTTCTGCCCAAGGTGAAATAAAACTGTTTTTGTGTATCAACAAAAGATACTTTAATCAAACTAAGTGGAAAAGATGCTTCCTTACCCCCAAATATGCTGTTTTTTATTTTTCTTTGACCTCAGTATTTCTCATTTAACAGTTTCTTTTTTTTTTTTCTCCACACCAGCAAAAATAATGTGCATATATTACCTGCAGCCCCAAACAGTTTGCTCCACTACTGTGCTCGGGTGGTAATTCCATAAAGATTTTGAACAATCTTTTAATGAGAAATCTAAGAGATACGCTAGTCTCAAAGATGATGGCTTAATTTTTAGTGTTCCCTGGTGTTTTATATCTTGACATTTCTTATGACCTACAATTAAAATGACTTTAGTGTAGACTTTAGTTGAGAAACTTGGATCCAGATTGCCGACTGTGGTTGACTGTCTCCAGGGAAAGCCTTGAACTGCTCGCTAAATCAATTTGTTCTTTCCTCTAAACAGATTAAATATGTTTTACCCCTTTAAATTAGAAAATAAATAACCTCATATGACACAACTGCTGCATGTAAAATTAAAACTGCACCCTGCATATTCTGAAGGGTAGTAATTTTGATGCCAAGGGTATGCTGATAGTATTTCACGAGAAAGAGAAATGAATGGTTAAAACCAAGCATGTCTAATCCTGTTGTGCTGTTCTGTTAGTCTTGTTGGAGAATTAAATTGATGGCACACTACTTGGGTGGGTGCTAACTGCTAGATGTGGCAATAATCTGCTTTAGCCTGAGACGCTCTCCTTCTGCACACCTCCTCCCTTTAGTTCCTGCTGCATTCGTCTTGCTGGCGAATGCTGCTCTCTTTCCAGGTCTGCCTTCTCATGCCTGTTTCTTGAGCAAGATGAGCTGCAGAACTCGCTTGTGACTCGCATGCACTGAGCGCTTCCAGGGTGGTTTTACCAGACTCCTCCTGCCTGCAGGTTATTCCGTAGCCAGCGCACCGCGTTGGAAGCGGTGGAGTCGGCAGCCGCGGGTGCTCCGCGAGTCTGCGGGGGACGTGGGAGCTGCGCGGAGCGGCAGTCGGAGGCACTGGTTGTGCCAGAGCAGCCTTTGTTCCTGCAAACCGCTGCCATGGCCCTGCTCGAGTGCCTTATTGTTTAAGGCCGTGCAAGTACAATAGGATATAAGGGAAAGGGAAGGGGGAAATTCTTTTAAAATAGAAACAAAATAAACTGAAAAAGTTGCTATGGAAATAGATGGCAAATGGCCTCTAATAATGGGATTTTATGAGAGATGTCCACCCTCTCGAACAATGGTTCAGTTTCAGCCAAGGTTAATAGGGCTCAATAGCTTGTGCTTGCGAGTTGGCAGCTCAGCCCTCTCCTACAAACAGGGTAGCGTGTTGCTCTCTGCTGCAGACTAGGAGGAAGCCGTTAGTGAGATGCTCGTCTGTGAAATGATAACCCATTGCAAATGCGGGTGGTTCATCTGCTCCGGGCTGGTGTTTGCTCCAGCCTGACGCAGCGCTGCTGCGCCCGAGGGATCTCCGCTGGGAGAAGCAGCCGAGCGGCAGCTGGCACGCGCCTCTGCCCGGGCCCAAGCGCCCGGGGTGCGTGGAGTGGACACAGCAGATCTTTGTTTTATCATCTCTCGGGCCAGAAGCACTCACCCGTGCCGAGTCGCTGCCTCACAAGGAGGCTGCAGTGTCTGCGGGAGCAGCGCCCGTTATCCCTGTCCCTCTCCCCCTTCCTGCTTGCACCTCCTTCCCATATGTCGATATGTCCTGATCCGGCCTCTGACTCGCTTGCAACCTCTTAAATCAGCGCAAAAACCGTGAAGGCCTCTGCGGTTTTATGGGAATCTGGTCTGTGCACAGCGCTGTGCTGGGCAACTGCGTGTGCTCGAGATGCACCTGCCTTATGTATTTCCGTGGGAGGGCTGTGTGACATAGTCGATGGTCTTTCTGCAGTATTTCTGTTTTCCAGGAATTTGTGCGTGTGTGCTAGTGTCCACAGCCTCCTCGGTTTCCAGTGCATGGAGGCTGCGCTGTGTTTATTGTGCATGCTGAGATCGAAGGCTTTGCTCTTGGCCACCATTTATTTACATATGTTTATTGTACCTGGCAGGGCGGCAAGGCCATGTGCTCACCCTGCCCAGCCCGGCAGTGCCCCACGGGTGCCCGTGGGTTCCTGGGGTCTCCCGATGCAGCAGTGCATCCCGCAGGACCAGGGCTCAGCTCCTGCCTCTCCTCGGCAAACCCACAGCGGGCGATGCCTCCCTGCGCCCATGGTGGGGCCTGCAGGAGCTGCCCGGGGCTGGTTGCAACTGGTTCAGGATAGGGATCCTGCAACGAGAAAGAAAAGGAGAGAAAAAAGCTACCGGGATTTTCATGCACTTGTGAGAGTTGAGCTGTGGCTTTAAGGAGAGCACCTGGCCTTGTGGGAGACGCGATAAGAGCGCGAGCTGCGTCCCGTGTGCTGCCGCCCGGCCGCCACCATGCGACGCCCAGGGCCTGACTGCCACACGGCCCTCACGCACGCCTCTGGAAACAGTCTGGCGCTCGGTGCCCGCGATTTTAAATATTTGAGTGTTTCATCGCCAAAACATTTGGCCAGGAAAAAATAACCTGTGTTTTTGTGCTCCCTCTGCTGGATCTGCGAGCGCAGGAAGCGCCGGCCGCCCTGGCAGCCGCCGGTTTCCTCCTCTCCTCCCCGCGCGCCGCCGAGGCCGTGGCGGTGCCAGAGTGCCGGGCTGTGCACTGAGGCCCTAAAGCCAGTCATTCACCCAGGGTGCCAGCAGTGTGTAACCTACCAAAAACTGCCGTTTCCTGTGGGGCGAGAAAAGCAGCAGAGTTCCTGTCCGAAGCAGATTGCTCCGCAGGGGCACTGTACATATCCATGTGGGATGGCTGCTCTTAACAGACAGGTTTTCCGAAGTGGTTTTGTTCTTTGTGAATTATTGGTGAACAATGGATATATTTGGAGGGAAAAAAAATCTAGTCACTTGTAGCAACTTGAGCTTTTACTTTATTCTATGTCTTTCATTGGTGCCTGAGTGTGAAGTAAGGGGGGCTCTGGTCTCACAAATTGCATGCATCATTTTTCTTTTCATAAGGCTTGGGTTTTCATGTTTCTTTTTGACAAAAAAAAAAATAAAATTATTTGAAAGCAAGTCGAAAGAGAAGACAAAATGTATTAAGAGATAGATACTCATCTTTTCTGCAATGTGTGCTGCATTTCATAGCCTGGTAAGACAAGCCTAGAAGGACACCTTGTCTGAGTGCTGAAACAGCACTGCACAGAATGCATGCTGCCCATAAACATTCTGCTGTCTCCTTTTACAGTATTTCTTTATAATTAAAAAGCATTTCCTAGAAGTCATGGTGCTTTGCCAACGTAATCCGTAAACATGCTCTGTTTTGCTATGGGCAGCGTGGTGTTTCTGTGGCATTTTGGCTTAACCATTTCAGCAGAGGCTGGGGGTTGTTTATTTGTTTAATGGTACTTAGGTCATAGCAGTCAGCAAGTAGCCTCTTTATAGAGAACGAGAGAAACTTCAGAATTTGACTGAAAAAATACTTATTTGATTCAGTCAAATTCTACTGAGGTTTCTGTCAAAAATTTACTATCTGCTCCTGATTTCATTTTTACGGGCGTGAAAACTTTTAAAATGTAAACTGCTGAAGTTATTCTCACAAGTTTGGGCATGAGAACTAACCTGGAAGCCAGGACACAGTCTCCCGTCTGGTGCTCCAGATTCGTTCCTGGGACTTTTACAGGCGCTTTGTCCAAGACCTGCTCAGTGACCTTGTTCAAGTGGTACCGTGTTACTCAGGGAATGGGTGTGTGATCTGTCCATGTTTTTATTGCAGGAAAATGGATCTTGTTATCTGAGGGCATTGAGGAAACTACCATCAGCTACTGAGAGGAAGAAAGGCCTGGGTGGAATATTCAGGTAGGAAGATTTTTTTTTTTTTTTTTATTCTCCATCAGGGGCTAAAAGCCTCTGGGCTTTTCCAAACAGTGCCTCATGTTTTAGACTTTAACAGCAGCTGATCTGGTCACTGTCAAAGCATGTCTGTTTGCTGTTTGGCCAATTGATTGGAGCAAGGAAGCACTGCAGGCACAGCCCTCAGCACGAACCTTCGCCGGGCTATCCCTGGTGTAACTATTGATCCTAATATACAATACAAACAAATTACCCTGTGCGTGGACCATTCAAGTGATAAAGCAGAGCAATAATATGTGCTACTAGCTTCCCGTAAATGTGCATTTATTACAAACCAGCAATCCCTGAGTGCGAATAAACAGTGGTTTCAATAATGTGTTTAATATCTCATGTCCAGTTGTACAGAATGAAAAATACAGATACGGGCACCCCAAGATTACCCTCTTCCTCTCTTCCTTCCCCTACAAAAATTGTTGTAAATATCAATAAAAAATACATTATGGGGACTTTAACGTATTTACAGTTGTTCTGAAGTGAGTCAGAGCCCTCGTGTCCATCAAGGGTGCATGGATGGTAACAGCTCATCTCCAAAACACAGTATTAGCGACCATTAGATCATATGGGTTTGCGGTGGGGGGAGATTCTCTGTGCATTTTTTGTTTATTATCTTTTCATCTGTTATACAGTGCTCTCACAATCAATGCTACGTTGTGATGAGCCTACAATGCTACGTTGTGATGAGCCACAGACAGTTGACCCAAAGGCGTTTCTTGATGAACATTTCTGTCTGCTATCAGCCTTGAAAAACTCAACCTTTCAAGAGCTGTATGAGAGAAGAATGTGTAAGACTAATATTTAAAGGCTGGAGGAGCGGGGAGAGGAAAGAATATAAAGTGTAAAACTTGCTTCCAGCAGAAATGCCATCCCTCTTTTACCTCTGATAATTAGAAGCATTTCTGACATGGCTACCAAGGCAGCTAGCGGAGGGCGCCTGCCATTTGCTGTGCTTTTGTGCTGCAGAGCTGTTTTCCTTTTTGTGGGGTGTTGCTTTGTTTTGCTTTGTTTTAAGCCAAAACACAAATTTCAATGGATGCCCAACTATTGCAGTATGATTCACCCCTACTCCTACACTTTAAATGATTACTTGCAAATACTTGTGCATGGTTATTTGTAAAAGGGGAATGCTTTTGTTCACGCTTACATTTTAAGTGATTTCTGTGGTAACAGTAAAGTTCATAAAGCTCATAAATTATTTCACGAATATGTCTAGCTACAATCAGACTGGGCGCTTAGGTGGTTTTAATTGTGTTGTGTTTTTTTTACTAGGAAAAGATCTTAGCTAAATTCAGAAGCAGAGTAGTACTGATCATAACTGTAGTAGCTTTAGAGAAACTATCACATGCTTTTTTGTGGTGCCTTAAAAATGTATAATGTGTTATGCCCCCCCGACTATACATGTTATACAGGTCTTTTCTTACAAAAATGGCGTGTGCAGAAATGCAGCCAAATCATCTCTTTTTTTTTTAAAAAAAAAAAAAAAAAAAAAAAAAAAAAGGAAAATAAAGAAACGAAACTCAGTTTTAAAATTGGGTAATTGAAAGTCTGCTGAAGGTTTCCCCAGACTTGGCTTGTGGTTTGAAAAGGAAAAAACATCCCTTTTCTGTTCTGTCAAGAAACTTGGGGAAAAGAAGTTCCTTGCTGTGCCTTGGGGTCACGTGGCCTCGCTGCTGTAGAGCTGGAATGTTTGCTGTGGTATTTCCGGAGGCTTCATAAACACGCAGCCAGAACGGGGGCTTCAGGAAGACTATTTTATTATTATTATTTTCCTTTTATTTGCAGCAAAAGTACATTGTAATTTGTGTGTGTTGGGTTTTTTATGCTTGTTCAGTTTTAATTTACTTTTTAAATCTAATCAATCCAGGGAATTTTAATAACTCACCTGTTTTTTAAAGAGAAAGTTTAAAAAAAAACAGTTTTAATATTGCATTTGTTTAAAAATACTTCCTAATGGTTGCAGTTCCTGGCAACCTAAATATTAAACCTACCTCCACTATTTAGATGGTCCTAATGGTTTGCTTTTGGCAAGCGCCCCTGGAAGTGGTGTTCGGTAATCTGACGTGATAGCTGTCATCTTGCGAGCGCGAGTTGCGCAAACCCAAGCTGACGACTCCAGCCAGGTTACGGTGAGGAGCCGCTTCCCAGCGCTGCGGCTGCGGCGCTGCACA